TCAGTTTGAACGATCTGGCTGAGCTCGTGCGAAGTATACGACATGCTTCTCCGGTTGGGTCGGACTTCTCCAGTGCGGCTCCGTCTGTGTGGGGGTTGGACGATGACATGGCTGAACCGGGTGGTAACCAAGACTTGGAAGAGGCAGATGGCGAGGGCGATAGGACTCTGGGCGATGTGGGCTGGTTCCCTTTTCGTGAAAAAACCGTAAGTCGGAGTTTGCGCCCCTGGGCTCGCCCTTCATTGGTTGGGAGGGGTCTATTTCAGAATTTGACCCCCCTGTGTCTATTTTCAGTACCTGGTAGGCATGTTGCTCATGGGGCATATGCATAACTTGATGTCAGTGCAGGACTTTGACAAGGTTAGGACCCTATGGAGGCATTTTGGCACCACCATCCCTCATTGGACAACCCTTAGGAGGGCAAGGGCCACAATCAGGAGCATGTTGAACATGAACATGATTTACAGGCTTAGCCTGTTTGATAATAAGTGTTATTCATTAAGTCTGCAACAGACCATAGCCATGGTAAGTCCTGATGTCTGCAGGTCTGCCAATTTTTGACACAATTCTGATGGCAGTTTTGTGTTTGTGAAAATACTTTTGACAGGACATGAGCAACCCTATTGTCAACAAACACTTGGATTTTTACCCTGAGGATACTTATGGTTTTAATATATATAAACTCAGCCAAAGCCTGAAATGGCGGGAGGATTTTCCAGCAGACCTGCGGGTGCAAATGGTTGAAGTCCAGTCCAAACACTATTACATCTATGAACCCATCGAATTGGAAGACAAATTGATAGTAATCCCAGTCTACTTCTACATGTTCCAAGGGGAACTTTACTCCAAATGTGTCAAGCCAAAAACCCGGGTCACCAGGGATAAGAACAATCAGCCACACAATTACCTGATCATTCCTCAAGATTTACCATTTGACTCCCCGGACCTTATGGTGATCCCATGTTCCCGATTTGCAAAGATTTATTCAGAAATTTTCATGTTGGGAGGTGTTCCCTGTTCCACTTGGTGTGAGAATGCCATCTGGGGTAAGGGGTTGCCATTGTTCAAGCAGTTGAAGATAATTGTACTAATGTGACCCTTCTATGTAGGTACTAAAATGGGCAAAAGCAAGAAGATTGAACTCCCAAACCCATGGAGGGCTAAAGCCAAAGGCAGGATCATCAGACATGTGCCAATCACCTTGTATGCGGATGACACATCCGGCAACCGCTCAAAACAGTGGAATAAACATATCTCATATTATTACACCCTTTCTGGCCTTCCTCCTAACATGACTAATCAACAATATAATTGCCATTTCTTGGCCACATCAAACACTGCTGGTGCTTTAGAGCTGGCTGATCAAATTGTTGATGAACTCAAGTGCATGCTTGCATGCCTATTCACAAGCCCTCCAAACTCTCAATTGACAAGAATATCTAATACAGTGTACTAGCGACCGAGGGTTTCAATGCCTACGATGCTGGGTTAAAAGAGGATGTACTTGTAATGACCATGGTTCTATGTTTCCTTGGGGATTCTCCTATGCATGCAGAGATTGCAAACACCCCAATGCCCTCGGTCTCTTTAAACCCTTGCAGGATGTGTGATCTGTCTGCCCCTTGTAAGGATTCAAAGTCCACTCTTGAATATGTTAATAATTTTTTGGGAAAAGACCATGAGGGCCGTATGGTATGTTCAGTTTGTGTTGAGCTCAGTGGATTAGTAATCTTTACTGACACCTTGGTGCAACTTTCCCTTCTTCCAGATCCCATTTAACCTACGTAAGTGGGAGGACACCATCACAAACACGCATGCCCTTTGGAAGATAGGCAAAACTAGGTCCAAGAAGTTATTTGACTCCCGCTCAATTGAGTATGGGGTACGAGACGGGATCAATCGGGCCTGTCTGATGATCATTAAAGACCGCAAGGCATCCAAAACCAAGAAGGAACAAATCAACCAGATGCATAAGGATAACTCTCCCAAATTATTCAGTCCAATCCTCAGGCTCAAAGGTTAGAAGTTATCATTTATCTAGCATCTCACAGGAACACAAGTATCTGACTATGTATATCCTGAAAGGCTTTGATGGGTGCAAGGATACCCCAGTGGAAATATTGCATGTAGTCCTATTGGGAGTGGTCAAATACCTCCTCCGAGACTTCATGATGACCACTATTAAGCCCAAGCACCTGCCCCAGTTGATTGCCTCATGGGATTCTTTCATAGTTCAACCATTGGAATTGGGACAAATTCAAGGAAAGTATTTTGTCAAACACTACAAGAGCCTGGTTGGGAAGCACTTCAGGATAGTCATGCAAATGGCACCATTTGTCTTATTCCAATTCATGACAGAAGAGCAGAGGAGACTGTGGACCGCATTGTGTCAACTAACCCCACTTGTGTTCCAAACATCAATCCCAGATATGGCCAAGTACCTCAACACCTTGAAAGACAGACTTGATCTATTCTTGTATCTTTTGATACAGATGTCAGCCCAGTGGGTCAACAAGCCCAAATTCCATATGTTGTTGCACCTACCCGACTCAATCAAGAGATTTGGCCCTGCAAGCCTGGTGGCCACGGAGAAATTCGAAAGCTTCAATGGGATCTTACGAAACGCATCAGTTCACTCAAACCGCCACTGTCCCGGAAGGGATTTGGCCATCAGCTTTGCTAATTATGAATGCATGCGGGCCTTGGGTTCGGGGGCAAAACTCTTCAATCATATAGACAATCGATACTTTTATGCTTCACCTCAGGTCACTAGCATGTTCAGAGACCCCATGATTCAAAAGTCTATGGGGTTCAATGATAGATTGATCAACACAAGTCCAACCATTACAGCCACATATATGTCTAAAAAAGCAGAGAAAACTGCTGCCTACTCAATCCCCCCACATCTCAAGGAAGCCTATCCAAACAAGACAATCAAGCCAGTTGAAAGTCTGAAACTTGACCCTCACAAAGTCCTCACAAGGAACACCTTTGTCCAGGTAAAGCAGGCCTAATATATCCTAAAGGCCAGCCAATCTGATATTCTTGTGCATTGCTTTCCAGGTCAAATCATCCACCTCCTCAACCACCAAACGAATCGGACGAATAAACTATATTTGGAATGTCCAATCACAAACATCAACTGGCTATGTCATTAGTATCACATGGTTCAAACTCCTGGGAATATCAGACTTCTACCGAATGCGCATCATAGCCAGTACTCATGTAATGGCTGATATATTTCCCCATGTGGAGCCATAGAATCCAGAGTATTTCAATTTACATTCAGTCAAAATTTGCTGATCTGACCTTTCTGAATCCATT